TCACCAACCTGCAAATACGAAAGCATAACACTCAACACTCGAGAACCCTAAAATTCTCGCTCACGCCATCAAAGTGAAGATGAAAGAGAAAACTCGCGCCAAGCACTTCATATCCCTGTCATCCAGAAGTCGCGGAATTTCCACAAAATGTGCCTTGCACATTTACAAATCCATATGCAGACAAATTATAGAATATGGATCTATACTTCTAAACGACGTGCCTAGAACATGAAGACACCATTTAGAAGTCGCAGAAAGATCGGCATTGAGGTCCATAACACGAATAAGGAACCCCCAAAACCCTCTTTTCAATCCTAGCAATGATCTCCTTTATAACCTCACTAATATCGCTCCCATTAACTTCCGTCTACAATCTTTATCCTAAATTTCCCTACCAATTTGCTCTACCATATGCTCATTATCCCTAGAGTAAACCACCCATCTGACAGCCAACCACTCCTTCAAAAACTGTTGATGAACAGAAAAGACTGAAGCTGCCGCTAACTAAGCAGCCCTATTTTTGGCTGAGTTTTAATTTATAACTTTTTTTTTTGTATTTATATACTCCCTTTTTTTAAATTTATTTGTATTTTTTGCACCCTCTCGAAAATTTTATCAAAACTTCAAATATTATTTTCTCAAAAACTAAAAGTTATTTTTTAAAACGTGTTGGTTCATTGGAAAGAGGATACTCTTATTAACACTTTGGGAAATGTTGATACTCATATTCCAAGAACTGGATTTTATCCAAACTTTTAAAACTTAATCGGCGAAAATTGCAAAATTCGCTAAAATGTCGATTATTTTAAAAATGTTCTTCTCAAGAACTAAAAGTGATTTTTCAAAACGGCTTTTTGCATTAAAAAGAGGATACATTAATTAATAATAGGTGATATTTCCACAAGAATCCTTCAAGAAATAAATTTTATAGCGAATTTTGAAAGTTATCGATGAAAATTGCAAGATCGAAAATTTTATCAAAACGTCAAATATTGTTTTCTCAAAAACTAAAAGTGATTTTTCAAAACGGGTTGGTTCATTGGAAAGAGG